TAAAACCAACCCATTTTTTTTTTTTTTTTTTTTTTTTTTATATATAAACAATCATGAGCAAACCAGGCTATGTTTCTATCTACAACTTTTTTTCGTGAGTCTCCAGGATGACAATGTTAAAGATACTTGCAATTATTCTACTTAAGGACAAAGCTAAATATTCTTTTGTCGTCATGTCTCAAATAAATCCAAACTGGATTGGAAACTGTGAGCTAGCCCGCTAGTCTTGTGTTTGGCCTCACTCTTCTGAGGTTTGGGGTTTTTATTCTCGGCTCCAACCATCCTGTGTGAGAGCTTGTATGTTCTCACTGTACTTGCAATTTTTTCTCAGGGTACTCTGGTTTCCTCCCACATGCTAAAAACATGTTTGTTCAGTTCAGTGAAGACTCTAAATTGTCCATAGGTGTAAATGTGAATGAAGGGAAATGACTACATGGAATACGTTACCACTGAAGAGACATGATTGTTTTCTGTTTCATTTTTTGACTGAGTTAGGACACATGTTTTCAGATAGTTTCCTTTTCCTGTGTGTTTTTTCAATTTGCACTGCAGACACTAGGAAAGGTTGATATTCATTGAATAGTGACTTCATGGATTGTTTCGAATGATAGCAAATTCCCTTTGTGTGGAAACAATTGTTGATCATTCGTATCTTGAAGAAATAGAGGCAAAATTCAGCTCACTTCTTCCTACTTAGGAGACCAGTATTATTGACTGTGTCATAATGTTAATGTGTGGAAACTCGTGTGCCGTGTAGGCGCCACATTTTGACAGGTGGAGTGGAAACAGTCAAGGCTACCCCGAGTCCCTCAAGTTCAGTCAGAGTGGACATGGATCCCACAGCCGTCAGTTCCCCACTCATGAAGAAAACCCGCTCTCTCCAGGATACTCGGAACCTCTCTGTGTAAGTTGTCATCAAAATACGTGAGGGCATAAATTGTCAATGATAAGGAAAACTCCATTGCTTGTTTTACTGGAGCACAGCAGCAACCCCCCACCCCCTCCCACCCAGTTAATTATTAAGCAAGGTCAAGAGGCTCAGGTGGTACACCTCAAGGTTGTCAAGAAAAAAAACACACCACATTATTAAGTTGGAATTTCTTCTGAAACAACATCCCATTTATCCAGGCATGTAGAAATAATGATCATATCAGAACATTTTATGACATTCCTCGAAGAGAACCGCAACTCAGCGCAAACTCCCAATTCGTTTTTGCCGGAGAGTGCTCACTGCCAAGAAGACTTGTTGTTTCTCAGCCTCTGACCCACACCCGTCTAATTAAAATGACGGACACCTCTTTCTTCCCTCCCTTCAGTGTCACAATGGTTTGAAATGAGGCAGGCGCAATTTGAGAATGTTTGCACCGCTCACAACCGCCCCGCTTGCTGTCCACAGTATAGCCGTCCCTCCTCGACCGAGACCGCCCGTCTGGGGAGCAGGACCAGCAGCTTCTCTTCCCACACCAAGCCTGAGCGTGACCCACGACCCTTGCCAATGCGTTATTCGTCCCCGCAGCGCAGCTCCTACCTCCAGCCAGGAGAGAGCTCTGCTGCAATGCCACAGCTGTACAGCACGCCGTACGCTGGCCCGCGTCCCTTCGAGAAAGGCCTGCTTGTCAAGGTAATCAGTCAGCCCGGCCTCTAAACTTGATAAGTGCATACAGTATTCCCCCTTATGCCTGTCGACTTATCTTACATGTCACTATCAATACACAGTGAATAGGAAGTCGAGCTTGGTCATGATATGGCGCATTTGTGATAGTAGTGGCAAATCTTAGACGTGCCAACAGATGAATGAGTAGAAAACATTTAACCTTTGACCCTATGAACCTCAATGAACAGAAAAACAATGACCTGATAGGTTGGATCTTGGAGAGAGTGCTGGCTTCCTTTCCTAAATGTATTTTTAAGTTAATACAGAGCAAAATTCATATATAAAAACAAACTAGTTTTACAGAGCTTATAAAGGTGTTTTTTTTTAAAAAGCAATTTTCCTTCTTTGACTTCCTGATCCTGTCAAACATTCAAAGAACCTAGTGGCATGTGCCAAAATATTTAGTGGCACATGTGATTGAGCCCTATAAACACTGCGTAGCAGCAAGCGGTCACGCAAATGATCTTGGTGCTCCCTCTGCTAAATTGTTAATGTTTGTTGTCTGTGCTATTTATTTATGCATATATATTGGTAGATTTATGAGAATAAATTTGTGGAAAAGACAGTGCTCCTGAGCATTAGTTGAGTACTCAGACTTGGTGCTTATGTTCGCCTCACAGTGATTCATAGAAAAATAATCACATTACTGCTTTAAACTAACACTTGGGTCTGCTCTGATCAGTCAAACAGCTGGAACACATCTCAGACAACTTTCGGCTACTCCCTGAATGTCCCACAGCGACACTCGGACATGTGCGCTCCTCGCCAGCCCTTGTCCCCCCTTTACGATGTGCCCTGCAGCCCTGAAATCTTCGCCTTAGATGAAGTGGGTCCAGTGGTAAGGGGTTTATTGATACTGCATTCACGGGTTCAATTTACACCACACAGGTTAATGAACGTAAACAAGAAGTCAAAAATTGCATGTCTGGCGACAATCAGCAACGGACAAGATAAGTGAATTGGTCAGTCTTTGTAACGAAAGTCATTGTTTGTTAAATTAATTCAATGTACTTAATACTTACTTATGGGTGGCCCAGTAGTCGAGTGGTTAGCACGTCCCCTAAAATGTTGAATTGCTTATAAATTATACATGTGACAAAGCACTTTGACAGGGCTATGGCCTGCCTAAATTAAGCTCCTCCCCTCACTTTAACATACATTCCTTGGCCCCTCGATGCCCCAAGAAGGCGGAAAAGAAACATTTTTATATTAGACATGGCTTTGGCTTGAATACAAAAACTGAGTTTTTAAAAGTTTTTCTGTCAATAACAGCGGATAGATTCTCCCTAAAAAAAAAAAAAAAATCTGAAGTGTGTGAAATGTTTAGTCACATGCTCATAGAACCATCCCTAAATCATCTCCCTCGCCCTGAACAGGAGAGCTGGCAGGAGCCCACTCATCTGTACCAGGCCCAGCAAAGCTCTTGGGTTCCCCCCTCTTCCTTCAAGCTCCGCACCCCACCAATGGGCAGACACAACCGCAGAAGTCTGGTTGTGACCAAGTCGCAGGGAGATGCTCCAGGCCGGGAGAAAGAGAGCCCTCGGGGTCAAGTGGAGCAAAGAGCCGAGGCCGTGTCGAGGCTCAAGCTGCTGAATGCACCCTCAAAAGGACAAGAGCAGGTGAGAAAGAAAGTACCGTTCATCTCCCAGGGCACTCCGGTTTCTGGAATGCTGTGGTACAACATGCAAGGGTGGCTGACTGAATGATAGATGCGTTTACATGTTTTTGTGCCGGTGTTTTTTTATCAGTTGCTGCGGATGAAAGAGAATATTTGTTTTTACTGACAACTGGAAGTGACATTCTTGTGTTTTCACATCTGTTGACAGGGACACCTGCGGTCCAACTGTGGGATCAACTCCTCTCAGACGTATGATTACTCACCAGGTAAGAACTGAAGGAAGGTATTCAGAAGCACTATGAAACTAATCCTTTGTTGAAAGCTCACTACGCGAAGGACAAAAGTATTGAAATCTTATTACCAAGTTTGTGGGAACAGTTCGAGGATCTCCCTTTTCTCAGTGCGTAAAGCAAGGTCCATAAAGCTATGTTGGTTTCAGTTGAAGAACCTGAGAGCTCTGGTCTTAACACAGTGGCACAGTTTGGTTTTGCCAGCACTTGAGACAAGTAAAAAAAAAAAAAAAAAAAAAAAAAAAAAACAATGTGTGCCCTGCACCCCACGCACCATACCCCAGCACAAGCCCATAATTTTAGGCATTTTCAGCCCGATCACCGCATTGAGCTATCTGTGGGCGATTGCAATTTTTTTGATTTATAAATCTTTTTCTCATTCACATTTTACACACCATCCCAGCTTCAGTGGAATTGTGGTTTGCTTGTGGATGATTTGTGTCTCATATTCTAATGTTATTGAATAACTTCTAAAAGTCTGTTTATCCTTTCTCCCCCTGATAGATCTTCATTCATACCTCAAACCCACAGAACCAGATGACCAGGAAATAGACTATGACAACATTTGGGAGTCTGATCGCCACACTGGAATGATTCAGCCAACGTCTGTAATTCCGACACACTGGACGGGATTAAACGGCGGGGCCAGGGGCCTTGGTGCCATGGCAACGGAGCAGAGATGGTCATAAAGCAAAACAATAGGCCGGCACTCGTCTGGGCGTGTGCAAACAACGGACCTCTATCAGAGGGATTATAAAAGCGAACTAGTGCAGGCTGTGTTGTTATCCAGTCAGCGTACAGTAGCATAAAAAGCATTAGGATGTAGTGGTGGTGGTGGGTGTGTGAAGGGGGAAAACAAAAGAATAATACATTCTAAATACGATTTCACATATTTGACACTAATTTTGTGTGATTGTACTTTATATTTGGAATGTGTTTTGTTCAGGAGTAAGTCAATCTCTTTATTCCGCCGTTATTTTATTTTATTTTTTGCTTCATTAAAACAAAAACAAAAAAATCAAGAAATAAAAACATTCCCCTTATTGAACCAACTGTATATATTTTGTAAATAGTATACTATATATGTAAATACAGATTTATTTTGGCTGTAAGGATGTCATATTTCTTCATCGTTCTGATACACGTGTGGTGTTCTGTTCATTTGTTTGAGGTGTTTATTTATATGTTCAAAAAATAAATTGGTGAAATGAGACAAACATTTGCAGTGCATATATTGTGTCCTCCAATTCTATCAAACCTGCCTGGATATATTGGACATCTGCACGATCTCATGATATCCAATGCAAGCGTTGTATCAAAAGGTCTGTCCGTACAGACGATACACTTGACTTAAAGGTCAAAAATTTGTGCCCTATTAGCTTTGAAGTTAAGAGAATATTTTAGCATGGATAGAACATGCAAATTCCAAAGACATCATAAAATATAATTTTTATTTTGGGACTCATGATGGGGGGGGGCTGAACAACAGTTTCAAAGACAAAAGTCAAAAATGACCTTACTTTACTTTTCAGCCCAACACTGTCAAGTACAGGATTAAATCATGAAATGATATCAGAGGGTGCTTTTCCAAGATTTGTGAGTAATTGATGAATTTATTTATTAGTTTGGATCCACATCAAAAAATATTTTGCAAACATTGTAAATTACTGCACGGTTCTTTGAAGCGCACCCAACTTTTTTTTCTGCTTGACTCTTGATCAAATGCTGCCCCCTAGTGCTTAAATAGTATAAAATGGCATTTTTCTCAGGTATGTTTACAAAAGTCAGAATAACGAAAACTAAACAATCAAAGCATATATACAATATATGTTTAATAAACACACACTTAATGAACTTGATGTCATGGTCATGGAACTGGATATATCCAGCCAGTAGACTATTTTGTAAATCTAGGCGCTGTAAATACCATACACTTGTATGCTACAAGATACGTTATGTAGCCTGGTTGTAATTAGCTATAATGGTACGCTGTTGTTAGTTCCTTAATCAAAATACAGACATTACCTACTAACATGAGGCGTAACTGCTATCAGCGGTGGCAAGTTTAGCCATCTAAGTGAATGATGTGCTGTTGAATAATTGAAATAGTGAATATAGAACTAGCCCGCTCTACAGGAACAGTGTTGTTCCTTGATATTCTCATCTTCTCAATCTTCATCAGAAGTGGAGATTCACTTTTACTCTGTGCGAGTTAGCTTCCTTCAACTTTTGTATTATTTCCTTGTGTCAGTGTGATACGGTGAAAGTAAGCTTCAAAGGCATATATGTCTGCTAATTCGACTAGCTTACTTTTCCACAAATTTGGGTATTTCTACTGGGTGTGGTTGTGGAAACCCAGTCATACAGCAACAAAGGAGGATTTGAGGTTTTGGTACAGCTCAGTGCTGAATCATTTAGAGACCTCAAGTACCACTGAGTGTGGTCAGATGCTGTTTCTTCTGACCGGCTGCCACTTCCACCTTAACGTCCTTCCGCAGGTACCGAATGGCTGACAGAGCACTTAGGTTTGCCAGCAGAACTGTTTGAAGAAAAAAGTGACGAGTGATGCAGCGCCCAACTGAAATCATTCTGCCTGTACTTAAATAATAACCATGCAGTTTTGGGTTATGTTCTTTTTTTCTTATCTTTTTTTTCCAGGTTGATTTAATCTAAGTAGAAACGTATCATATAGCATACAAAGTAACAAATCATGGTAACTGTACTTCTTTAAAAAATCGGTAACTAAAAAATTAAATAAGACAAATCTCAAACTGTCAATTCATTTCTTCAGAATCAGTTGCTATGCTTGACACAAACCTTACGTGCTAACATACATACCGGCCTTCCACATGTCTCCAACTTGGGGATTTGCTGTCTTCAATACCCAGGAAGCGAATGCAATACAGACCAGACACATATCTGATTGTCTGAGAGGCAGCAGGGAAACATCGGTCCCTGTAAACAAAAAGAGAAAGATTTTCACAGTGGATCCTGCTGAACAGACATGGACACCACCATTGGTGAACGTACAACAACAGCTGAGCAGTAGTACCCGCTAATACGTTCGCGCTTCCAGTCATGTCACACGATGACCCGGTTAAATCCATACATCTCCAACATGTTCTGCAGAAATAACTGCAATCCGATCCTCCCTAGCCACGGTGGGATATACGGTCGAACTCCCTCCTCATTTGTTCAAATTAACGAACAAACTTGATCTCTTCTGCTGACACAGGACGCTCTTTACGTCAAGTCAGGTTTGCACGTGCGCGTCCCTAGCATTAGTCGTGTAATTGGTCAATGTTTTCTGTTCTGAATCTTTCCAACATTTCGATTTTCTGGGTATTTTAAATCTGTATGTTTATGTGCGTCAGTTCTAGGTAATCTAGGCCTCCCATCAGAAAGGTTGCAAAATGTTTAACCTCCGTCATTTTCGATAAAGTTGTGTCGCTATTCGGGTCATAGATGAGCTGGATTGTATCCCATCTGACATTTGGCGAGAAGTACACCATGGCCTTGTCGCCAGTCAATTGCTGGACACTTATGGACAAACAACCATTTTCACTTGACGCCTATGGGCAATATAGGTAGAGTCTTCAATTAAGCTAACGTGCATGTTTTTGGAATGTGGCAAAAGAAGAGATTCCATGCGAGCATGGGAAGAAAATGCAAAACTCCACACAAGAGGGCCTGATTCAACATTCAAGCCTGGAACCTCACAAACGTGAGGCAGATGTGCTAACTAACTCACTTTTAAAAACATATTTTTTAAACCATTTTTTAACCCTTTCATGCACCCTTTAACCTGATAACATGATTAAGCTGTCCACTGTAGTAACCGCTGTCCCCGAAAGCATCAAACATACGATTTACTCATTTGAAACGTTCGAAAACTGAGCAAGACAAGCTGTGTCCCCATGATAACCGTACAGAGCAGAAACAAGACTATCTTGTATTTATTTCACAGCTTGTGGTGTTGCATACTGCGAGGAAACAAATTTTATTCATGAGGAGACCAGATGCGATACAGTGAAGGCCATTGGACGATATTAAAACATTTAGAGCTAAAGCATTGCAAACAGGACGAGTCAACATTAGCATGTGCATTGATTTTGCAACTGAGTATTGGCCCTTCGAGCCGAGTCGGAACCTACTTTTTTGCACTGAGAAAGAGGCAAAACTGAACAATATTGGGTCGATCAGGAACACCCACATAAATCAACAAGTCAGGTAAATTGCAAGGGAGTCATTCCTCCTGTTATTGCTAAATGCAAATAAATGTTTGTTATGAGCTTACTTGGGTTTGGAAGAGCTCCTTGCATGTCTTCATATCCGAGTGGTTGCGTCAAAATTGATCTGGTGATCCTGTTTTCCCTCTGTTGGCTGAGCAGATGGGTAAGGCCCGTATGTCCTAAATCACGGAGAGTCGGCGCATTTTGCACATTCCGCCCCACATGTCCAAGTGATGACGGGATTGACCTCTTGTTCCAGACTGCACCTCTACTGAGGTGAAAATTCCTGAAGGAAAATGTTGCCGTCCAAAAGAAATTCTCTCGCGTGTCGCTGTCACAAAAGAAATTCTCATAATCGTCCGCAAAAGTTTGAGTGGTATTTGAGTTTTGGCTAAGCCTGCTTACCACTCTCATCGGACTGCCACTTTCCTCTTCCTCTTCTCCTACAGAATCGTCTGAAGAAGAGGATGCAAAGAAATAGTCATAGGCTTCTGGCAAGTGCATCTTTGTCTGTCCAGAGATGACTGAACGCGTCTTTGAGTGCTTCTCTTCTGTAACAAAAGGGTAGAAGAAATTTTCGATACCGAACTCTGCAAAGAAATGATCGTAAGTTTCAGGGACTGATTTTCCATCCGTGTTGAAGTTGACGATATCATCTTTCGCTGACTGGCTGTGGATTTGTTGTTTTCCACCAAGGAGGAACTGAAATACGTCATAAAGAGAGAAACTCCTGCAGTGCGTCGAAGCTAAACTGTGTTTCTTGACTTCTTTCACCTCTAATTCTTCTAACGTTTGTAAAATGTGCGCTTTCTTTGCTTTGCTGCATGGTTCCAGAGAATCCAAAGCTCTCAGATTGTGCACGCTTGCGTTTTTCGATATCCTTCGGAGGCCCTTCGGAGGGCTTCCGTGTCTCGGAGAGCCGCTGAAAGGTGCCTCCTCCGCTTTCTCGGTAATGATATCAACAGGTTCACTCTCCCACAACAGTACACACTTTGGAGAAGTGGAATCGGGATTTGAAGGAACAGCGTCAAAATCGCCATCAGTGTCCTCACCGGCAGGCAGCGGCTTGGACTCGACAGACTGAGAGGAAAGACTGGGATTGCTCTCATCCGTCTCCTTATTCGTTTTCCTTAGACCCATGATGTCATTAATTGTCAGCTTCTCCATCTCACTCCAAAAAGAAGACATGACAAAAACCGGATGTTTTGAATCTGGCACGTATTCAGGGTCACGTGATGTTGAGATGACATCGTCGTCTTCAGCCTTGAAATCGTTTGTTTGTCCTGTGCCGTGAGCTTCTTCCTTATGCGTGGTGATGATTGAGCCACATCTATTAACTGGATCCGGATCTGGACTGGGAGATGAACAAGAACCAGCAATATTTACATTGGACAGCACTGGCCCTGTGTCTTCAAACAAGGACAACTCTGGATTTGTTCCTCGATTTTTGTTATCCGA